GAGAAAAGCATCAGTAGAAAATATTGAAGAAGAATTATCTAAATAAGATGTTGATGAAATTACTTTACTTATTTCATATATACAGAATAATAATGTTTCAATATGGTCTAGTAATAAAAGTAAGTTTTATGATTCAGTTTCAGCTAAAATTCTTTCAAAATATTCTAATGAACAAATAAAAAATAAAATAGGAGTAATATATAGGAGATAATTTTACAAACATTAAAAAATTACTTAATATATGAGAAATATAAATTTGGTAATGATGCAAATTTGTATCACAGTACGAATCAGAATGAATTCTCTAAAGTACTGTCTTCTATTATAGAACCAATACGGTACAGTACGATTTAAATATATTAAAGGTTCTATTAACATTTATACACGAAATCAAAGAGTCATTATAATAATATTTAACACTTGTCTCTATAACAAAGTTGGTCAAGATCACTTTTGTTTAGACATTCTCACAATAGTTAGTGATAAAATTCAGGAGCAGTCGTATTGAATTTTCACGTTATTTTTAAGAATTTTATGAATAGTCTAAAATGAAATGCAAGCATTAAAAATTCAGATCTAGCGTTATTGAGATATTCACGAAAAGATTATAATTTTACAGCTAAATTTAGAGGAAACCTTATTAATTTATAAAATAATAAATCAAGGCATAACAAAATGTTTAACAGGGTGCTAAAATTATATCTAACTAATTTTGTATTTTTTTTTTTACATGAAGCTATTTATACAGAGCGATATAGAATGCTAATAGTGAATAAAGGTGAGGATTTCGATCAGATTTAGTAAAAATATTGTAAATTACTTGTTTATAACGTCTCAAAAAATACAATTAAATTCTTTAATATATGTTATTTTGAATCATAACTGGCAAGTAAAAGAATTTAAGTTACTATTTTTTATAGGAAGTAAATTAGAGAGAGGTTTCTCGATAAATTAATGCACTATATAAATTATATATACTATAAAAATTCAAATTAAAATTTATTATTCAATGCAATATATAATTATTAACAAAAGAAATTTTCTAAAAAGGTAATCAGTTTCTATATTTCAGTTCAATCAGTAACACAAAAAAGCTATTTTTATTTGTGTGTGATTATTTTCAATTCAAAACTAGCTATGAAATAATACTGTTGATCCTTAAAGTTAACCAATTTTAATATAAAAGTACTCATTCTTCTAGGAAAAAAATTTTCATTTTGTTAATTCATTCAAATTTATCATATTAAATTATTTAAATAGCATATAATAACCCTTTACAAAATCAAAATTTCAATTTTATTGATAATAATAGACATTCCAATAGTGTGCTTCCTTTAACTCATAGTTAAGAAGAACTCACTTCATTAAATATTAATTATAATACCATCTACAGACACATCAATAGTTATTTCACGATGAACAATAACAATTTCTTAGTACCTGACAAAGATTCTAGTTTACATCACGACCTGCAATTTATGGCTAACTTGACTCAATTCTACCTTACTACTACCATTCCCATTTCATCATATGCCCATGCTGATGAGAAACCAAATCTACTACAGTCCGCTAATTATACCTCTTCACTCGACATAACTATTAACGCTCTTCATTCAAATCCTGACATCTTCAGATTTGATATTCCTGGCTTTAGGATTGTTGTTATACCTGAATCTCTAATCGACATGCAGGAAAAATAGTTATATTCAGATAATTCTTCTTTGAATAACACAACAAATATCTTGCAAATTCCATTTTAACAACAAAGCTCTTTTGAATTTGATGAATCATTTAGTGATTACAATTATCATATCTCTAAAATCTAATAAATTGAGGATTAATATTATTACGAAAAAGAATTATCACATGACTATGGTGATAAATATGACAAAGTGAAACAATAATAATTTAGTATTTATATTTATACGATCATTTATATTTTTATAATTATTTGTTGAGTTATTATAATTATTATTTTTATTTCATCAATTATATTATTTTATAGGATACATTTATTTCTTTTATGTTATTAGTAAATTAATTTGTATAAATATCTTGTATTTTTTTTTAAGTTAAAAGTAACTCATTCATGGAATTATCTCTAGAGTTCCAGATTAATAAAGAAATCAATTAAATTCATTTACTATTATATTACCTTTCTTCATGTTTCCATATAGTGATAGAGATTGAGATTAAAAGCGAGATTGATGATTATTCAAGTTATTACTTGTTTTAATAAAATTTATCATCACTTTATGAATTCAAGAATATTCTTTGTAATATTATTATATTATTTTTGTAAAGAGCATAATAATTATTTTATCTTTTGTCTATTTTGAGATCAAGTAACAATATGGTAACTGCTACAAAATTATGTACCTTACCAATTTTAATTTGTGATTTTAAATTCTTTTAAATTTTTTTTGTATATTATTTTATGTAGGTTTTATTTTTATATTTTAAATTCTATTAAAATACATATTTATATAGATAATCTATTGTTTAAATTAATAAATTCAAAAAAAAAAAGATTTTATTGTTTATATTTTGAGAATGAAACAAAAAGTTATTCATATTTAATCATGTGGAAACATCAAAAAAAAAAATTTTTTTTATTTCTGTATTTTTTCTGTACGATTTCTGCAACTTTTTTTATACAATATCTGTTAAATATTTGCAAATAAATGTACACTGTTTCGATTTCAATATGCAAAAGAAATAAGCAAAAAACCAGATTCCATTTCTTAAATAGTGTTCATTAATATTACAAGATTAAATGTGCTTTTCTTTTTCTAAAAAAAAATAAAAAAAAATAATAATAATAATCTCTTCCTCGTAAAGATGTGATGCATATGAAGTTTTTTACGATATACGTTTTGAATTTTGATAAATTTAATTTACTACGCTAGACAGTTGTAAGAGAAAATATTCTTTTGATAGTACAGAATAATGATTAAAATTCATCTTATGATGATGAAATATTTCACTTATTTTTTTTTTTTTTTTAACAATGTGGCACTGCCAGACACTTTATTAATTTATTAAATCAAAAATACAATTTAAGAAAAACAAATTATTTTAAGTACTAGTTATCCCTCGTAGTTATATTTCAAACCTGTTTAAATCAATTTATCATTATCATTTCCCTCTAACAGGCGCATTAATTACATAACTAATGACTACTGTTTTCACTAAGAAAAGAAAAAGAAAAGTCAGTGCACTCTAAGAAATCTGAAAATTTGTTACCATATTTAGTCAGCAGATGTATCTAAAGTTTTCAAGTATAGGACTCGTCAGGAGTAAGTTGATAATTTACAAACTTATTTGCATTACATAAGCATCTGTCTTTTTTGTAATCCCTTCAGAACGTTCTTTTTCAATCATGAGATTGCATCTAGGTTTCCAAACATTGTCATATATCTTTTCAAAAAAGAAAAGACATATTTTGACTGTAATTGAAATTGCCAAGTGTTTGCTTCTAACAATTTGATGTATCATAGAAACCAATTCTGAGGGGATGCAAGATCTGATAATATTATAGTAACCATCATTATTATGAGAAGGTGTAGCGAAAACTTCATTAAATAGATCAAGGAAAGTGGGAAGGAGTGAGAGAACGTGAGAGTTCTCATTTTTCAGGATAAGATCACTAGCGAGGACTTTGGTATTTGAAATGATGTCATTCATTATTGAAGAAAATGTATCACAAGTTCAGAAGTGAAGGAGTGTTTTCATGTGTGTGAGCAAAAAAAAATAAAAAAATTTTTAATCCTTCACACCTAACTAATGACGTTTGTTTAAAATTCTAATGTAATACTTCTTTCAAATAATTGATGATTTCATTATTTATCTCTTAAACTTATATAAATTTAACCTAATTTTTATTATGAAGAAATTTACTACTCCTTTTTTTTTTCGTGTTCATAATTTGTATCATTAATTAATGAATACATATAAAGTGGAATTATAATATATATTATTAGCCTTTACACAATTAATTTATCAACAGTTACATTATTTTTTTTTTACATTAATTTCTTGTTGATATATACATAGCTGTGATTGATAGATTTTTCTTATCTTTGCTATATAAAAAAAAAAAAAATAAGATGTCTGCTTATATAATGATATAAATTATAAGATAAATCTTGTAAATTTCGCAAATTATTAAAATTCATTTTTTAACACATATGAACATTGTTCATAATCAAAATTTGTTAAATTTTGATCAATCACTAATGACCGAAATTGCGAGTTTGACAATTTTAATATTTTGCTATTATTACTTTAACTTTGATAATTTTCATTTTAATAAGTGTTATATATATTGAAAAGGAAGGTGGCTGAAATTTATAGATTGTTAAAATAATAAAATTAGGGTTATCAATAAAGACGTTATATATTTTTTTTTATTTCCTTTATCATCAAGTATAAATATATCTAACACGTTGAAACCAGCAAAAATTGATGAACCTGTCAAATATGCCAAATATGCCAGATCTGCCAAATCTGCTATATCTGCCAAATAGAACACATATATTATTTATTATATTTTTATTATTTGTATTATTATTATCATTTATAACATA